CGCTCGCTGGCTGTGCGTGTTGGCAGGCGCCCTCGCCTGCGCCCTCGGCCCCGCGGTGAGTGTTCGCCCCGCCGCCCACAGTCCCGGCAGCCGGGGGTGAAGGAGGGAGGGGACGGCGGGAGCCTGACCGTCTGTGCGCACGTTTGTGTGGGGATGTGAAGGGCACGAGCACTTCGTCTTGCCTCCTCCCTCCGCCCCAGACCGGATCTAGACCCGAGGGGTGGGATCTTGGTGGTGCCCAGTCCCTCCCAGAGCAGCCCGGAGCCGGCGTAGCAACGGTGGAGGGACGGGGGCGAGTGAACTCCAGACTTGCCTTCGGTGTGGTGGCTGCGGGAGGGCGTGCAATGGGGAGGCCCATGGGTGCAGGCTCGGGTACTGGGTCGATTGAGATGGAAGGTCTGGTAGACCATGGGTGGGAAGGAAGCTGTCCGGTCTAGGTGTCTGTGGGTGTCGACCGCAGACTCAGCCCTGGGGCCCCCAGGACCTGAGAAGGGATTCTTGGGATCGAGTCAGTGGCAGACACACCACTCTGTGCCCTCCTGAACGGAGCAAAAAGGCCCTGGAGCTCATGGTGGTGGGCAGTGAGAGCCTAGGGGTGGTGCTTACCAGGAAGGGCCAGGCTGAGCAGGGGCCAATGCCAACAAGCAGTGGCCTCCCCTTCCTCCCAACATGAGTATGCATGTGTCCCTGACACATGCGTGCCCAGGTGCCCCATGTGTGGGTGTGGTGTGTGTGCCTGTGATTGGGCAGACCCTGGTTGTGGCAGTAGGTGCAACAGATCATCTCACTTGAAGAGCAGGGAAGACCTCAATGCTCACTGAGTCTATCCAAGCCCATTTTACTGGTGGGCAAAGTAAGGCCCAGAGACATGTCAGACCCGGACAGAGATTGATTTTCTTCCTCCCCCTACCCCAGACCTTGAGTAATCTGTAGTGACTGCTTGGACAGGGCCTAAAATACCTGCTCCAGGTTGGCTGAGGGAGGGTGAGGAACCTTACCTGGTCCATTCTGTCCCTTACCATCACCTCCACCAGGGCAGGAATCGCTGAAAGCAGACTTCTGACAGTTGGCAGGAGTGTCTCCTCCTCCCGTTGATGGTCAGGAGACCTCCTGAACACTCAAAGCCTCACCAGCTCTGGCCCTGAGGCCACAGCTCAGCACCACTTGCAGCCCCTCAGTGCTATGAAGCCTCTAGGCCTTGCCAGCAACCCCCTGGGTTTTTTTTCAGCCCTGGGTCCCAGGCACTCAAATTCTTATTGCATGAGCCAGGGATCTTGGGACCACTGCTGGCACCCATTCCCCGATCCCTGGAGGCTTCTAAGCTTAGGAGCAGAACAGTATCAGTAGGCCTCTTCTCATTCCAGGCCATTTCTTCAGCCTCTCACCTTCAGCCCTAGCCTGGTTCCTCCAACGCTTACCACACACCACCCCCCACCCCCACCCTCATCTTTCCACATCTTACTCATTTAGTGCCCAGCTCTATCTCCTTCAGACAGCCTTCTCTGATTGCTCCAGCCAACTCAACCCTCCCTCCTCTGGCCCCACCCTTCAGTCCTACTCACCTCCCAGCCCGGGCTTTTCTGACCATCCAGTGGGGTCTGGGTCTGGGGTCTCTCACCCTCCTGTGTTTCTCATAGCTGGGCCCACAGGGACTTATCCAGGACTGAGCGAGGGGCAGGCTGGAGTGAGGGGCCCCCATTTCCCTCCCTGCCTCTTCCTCTTCCCCATCAGCGACCACTCGCTTCCCCTTGGAATGGACACCAGGCAATCCTGCTCCAGCTGGACTGGGAGGTGGGGGCTGGGGGAAGGGCAGACATTATCAAAGTCATAAAGTGGCAGCTGCAAAGTTCAGGTTGAAGGCCCAAAGCCTTATCACTGCTGTTTATGGTGCCCTGACTTCAGCCAGGGAAGGGGAAATCTCTGAACAGGGAAGCAAAAAAAGGAAAGAAAACCTCCAGTGTCTCAGAGGAGGAAGTCTGCCCCAAGGCCACTTGTCAGGGCTTAATTGCCCCTGCCCCCCAGAGAGCAGACACAGGGACTTCTTACCCCATGGTAGAGGTACTCAAAGCAATGCCCAGTACAAGGCCAGTGAAGGGGGGGTCACAAAAGAACAGACCCAGGCCTTGCCCTGGGAAGATTCTCAGGCTGGTGGGGGAGACCAGACTCAATGGCCTAGGAGGAAGAGCCCAGATGTATGTGGGGTACAGTCTCCCAGAACTGGGAGCAGGGGTTGCTGAGGTGGTCATGGAAGGCTCCCTGGAGGAGGCAGGACAATTCGCTAAGGAGTCTGGCCAAATGGGCCAATCATTCACCCCAAACTACAAAACAGCCTCTGTTGACCCCAGAAGGAGGAGGAGGCTTCCGGCTCCCCCCAGAGCTAGGGATGGCCCCTGGGGTTGGGGGAGGCTTGGTTCCTGTCACCCCTTTCTGAGGCAGGTTACTGGCCACCAGCTCCTGAAGGCCTTGCTTTGCCATAGGATCCTGCTGCCCCTGCCATCTACTTCCAACCCCTCCTGATGTTTCCACAGCTGCCCAAGCCCTCTTGGCACCTAGCCACCCTGTGAACGCTGGGAAACATGGCTGCGGATGGGTCAGGCCTCTTCCTCAAGTGACCTGACAACCTCTGTTTGGCCAACCAGGGGGAATGTACTGGAAGAGGGAGCTCCCTTCAGAAGTTTCCACCCTCCCATTCTATTGCCCTGAGACTCGGCCTTTCCTGAGGTTTCTGAGGCTTCCATAGGGAGTCCCACCTGGGGGGCAAGAGACCGCCTCACTTCACCTAATTGACTTGGGGAGCATCTTTAATCTCTGTGGAAGGGCCTCAGGTTCTTCACCACAAAAGGGAGGGAAACAGTCCTTGGCCCAAGGTGCAGGAGAAATGGAAAGAATGGGCTGGGCTGGGGCCAGCTCTACCTCCTACCGGGAGGTAATTTTCCCCATGTTGCCCCATGCAATTCATCATTTGCATTTATGACTGAAGTATTTTAAAGTAAATTATAGCATACTGGACTTTTACTCCAAATTATTGCAAGATGCAGCTCTTTAGACATTTTCATATGTAACTGTGAGACCCCATGAGTCTCTGAAACGGGGTTGGTCTTCCAGGCAGGACTTTTGTGAGCTTTGAAGGAGGTAAAGGTAGTGAACGTGGCTGTGTAAACCTGTGACCCACCATCTTTTCCTCTCAATCCTCAGCTCAGTAGCCCTGTGAACTTTTATACCGTCATCTTGCCCCCACCTGCCCATGGCTCCCCAGGGCAGGCAAGAGTCCTGGCGATGGAAAAGATGTTGTCATGAGGTGGCCAGACCATTTGGGGGGCAAGCCTGCAGACCCAGGCAGCAGTGGGGCCTCTCAGAGAGGACTAGGAGGTGAGTGGAGGGCCATCTCGCACCATAGTGGCTTCAGTGGAAATCCAACATGGGCCATGATGCAAGGTAGGGCCTCTCGCTTGTCACCCTCCTGCCATTGCTGGGCCACTCACTGTGGCCCTCTGGGCATGGCTGAGGAATGGGGCCTGGGGACCCTACGGAGTTTCGTCCCTTTCCCCAGCCCCTTCTGTCAACCTCTAGACTCCATCATCCCCTGTTTGACTTTGTAACACAAAACAGTTCCCATTGCACCCAGGAAAATGTCAATATATACAAACTCTCTCACATACCTTGAAAATATTTCCAAAGAAGAGAAAGCAACACAGCTTAATTTCTCCACCACATGTGTGGGTTTTAAATTTTCTACTTTCATGTTGAAATGTTTCAAACAAATAGAGAGAAGACTATAATGAACATGCAAACACACAATTCATCATTTGCATTTATGACTGAAGTATTTTAAAGTAAATTATAGCATACTGAACTTTTACTCCAAATTATTGCAAGATGCAGCTCTAAAACCAAAGGACATTTTCATATGTAACTGTGATACTATCTTTACACCTAACAAAATTAACAGAGATTCCTTAACATCTAATATTCAAATGTCCTCAGGCAGAAGGCAATCAAATACCACAAGATGAGTGGGGATATTATCGGGGTTTGGTTTTGTCTCAGGAATTGTGTGTCTGTGTCTGATGGGACTGGACTGTCCAGTACCTGGCAGGGTGCATGGGGAGAGAGCAGGGTGCCCTGGCAGTGAGCATCGAGCTGAGCTACATTGGACAGGACCCAGTCTTTTCATGCATGCCCTCTTGTGTGCTCGTGAGACAAGGATTCATATCTCTCAGGAAGTGCCTCCTACTATCTAACTTGAAAACAAGTTCTTCCTGCACAGCAGATCACCACAGGAAGGGAAAGGTCACCAACCAGCCTCCATGTACTCACAGCCTGTGGCTCCCTGTGCTGGTGCCAGGCTCTGCAGGTGGTCCCAACGCCAGTGACACCCACACACACCATGTTTGTAAACTGAGTCCTGCAAAGTCCAATTCCCTGGGGGTGGCCAGAATCACTTTCAAGGGGCAGAGGATTTAAACTAAATGCTCAGGCTGAGTCTCTGCTGTCTCTGCTTCTCTAGCCGTCATCATGGTGATCCAATGCAAAGAAATCCTGGAAGGCTTCATGCCCAAAGGAAACCTTCCAAGAAGAGTCCTTAGACAGGAGCAAATTGAATGTCTTTGCTTGGATTCTGCTAATTGTGAGATCTCTAGTCTTGGTACCACTCTGAGCTGTGGAAATAGGCACACACCACCAAACCAGGTTAATTTTTAAATTTTTTTCCTGGGCTCAAGCAATCCTCTCGCCTCCTCCCAAAGTGCTGGGATTATAGGTGTGAGCCACCATGCCTAGTCCAAACCTGTATCTCTATGTCTCCTCCTCTTCCTCACCCTCCCCACAAAATACACACACTAGTCTCTATTCTACTTTTCTACCACCCAGAACTCAGCTTTCCCCAAAGGGAGATGTGGTTAACAAAATCTGGATTTGTAGAGGGGAGGTTTTAGGCTACAGGCAAAAGGATATAAACATACAAGGAAGAAATAAAAATTAGACTACAGTGGGGGTAAGGAGGACTGGCAGACTTGAGACCTCTGGAGGGTACAACTGCCACTTGTCAGTATATAG